TGAAAGAGCAGGACTTTTAACTTCCTTCAGCCTTATCAGAAGACAGTTGTCTCTTCAGAAGTCAGCTTCTCCTGTTAGTCCAAGGGTTTTGGAATCTGGTGAGCCTTGTTGTTGGCTGGAGTCAGGATCAAGCAAGCTGAGTTGCCAATGTTCAGACTGAGGAAGTAGAGTATGAATACCAGCTACTGGTGGTTCAAATGGATGGTGCTATGTAAATAGCATGTTTTGGAGTTACTGAAGGGGTTTACAGCATCAGTTGGATGTTGTATTTGGACTGATATACTAAGAGTCCTCTGAGTTGGTCTTTTGGATGCCTCCTTTTATAAGTTAAAATAGCATGTTTAGTGACAGAATATTATAAAATATCTCACTATTCCATATCATCTTCATAAATATACTTCCTTCCCATGTCTAATACTAACTATTTGGCATCTTGCTATAGGAATGTCATGCTCTCCTGATATAGTTCCAAAAACTCTTTTTCTCTGTTCTGCTGTATTGCTTCTTCCAGAGCCTTATCATCTGTCTCCTCCTTTGCATATTTCATGAATTTTCTCCATTTAAGAAAAGCATTCTTGTTGCTCTCTTCATCCTCAGCCTTGTCATCTCCCTTATCCTTGCTGTCCTTGGTGAGAGAGCTCTTGGGCTGGTCATAAATAGATGGGGCAGGAGCTTTGATGGTTACTGGCAAGCTGATCATTATTTCTTGCACTTGGCCTAGCCTCATTATCATCAGTCCAAGGAGAAGACTGCCCAAGAGGTCAGCCAGTGCTAATCTCAATGTCTTCTTAATGGCTGCCATGCACTCTCTGCTCCTCCAGCTTTCAGTGATAGAGGCAGAAGTTTCAGTAATATTAGAGGTTAAGAAAGAGTGCTGCAACTCTTTCTTTCAGAAACCTCTAGAGGCTGTGGTCAGAGATGTGAGCATTGAGGGAGACTCAAAGCCCATAGGTGTTGAGTACAGATTCAGAATGAGAGGGAATGATATCTGTATTGGCAATGCTTGAAGTTTCAGGATGAGAGGAATATGTGGTGCATTGGGCAGCCTTACTGAGGGTGATGGCTTCTGTGGACCATGCTCAGAGATCTGTTTCTTTAGTTGTGCTAGACTCTGTAAAGGAAGAGTCCAGAGTTTCTTGGCCATACCAGAATAGAGAACTAGATCCTCAGATAGTGGTCTTCAACTGGTGCTGCTGTTGGTGCCACTGCTGGTTATATTTTTTTTCTTCATACTCAGTAAAAGCTCAGTCAGCCACTTCTTTGGTGGCATCTCTGGCTCATTCTTCTGCTTCTGCACTGACCCACTCTGTTCAAGTGGCAGTGGTATAGTGATTGTTGGATGGTTCTTCTGTACTGTGATTTCATGGACTTCCTCTCAGACTGAGCTGAGTGCAAAGCCCTCCACTTGAGTTGATTCAGGTCATGAGCCTTTCATTCCATTGCTCTGATGGGTCTTCATCATTAGACTAGAGGTCAATGGCCCTATGACTACCATAGTTGGTGTGGACCAATAAGATGGAGCTTCTGGCTGGTATAGCATAGAGAGAGTTATGGCCTGAGTTTGACAATACACTCTAGAATCTTGAAGCCACCCAAGGAGCATCAAGGGAGTTCCAAGTATGATCTTCAATCTCAGGTTCTCATGGGGCAGTGGAAGGATCAGAGAACAGCTTGTCATTGAAGAAGTCATCAGGGAGATCCTCATCCTCATGGTTCAGGACTAAAAAGAACCCCAGCAGGATCCATAAGTTTCTAAAGCCTGCAAGGCAAGCATTACTATTTCAGCTAGTTGTTCTTTAAGATAGGCATGTTTTTCTTCTTCTTGATCATCCTGCATATCTGAGCTGCTAGGCTGGATTTCTGATATGGTTTCAACCTGAGGCTGAAAGGAGACTTGGGCAGAGGAAGAAATGTCATGGAAGAGAAGGTCAGAGATGACATTGTATAATATTTGTTATATCTGCTAAAATGCTTGATAGTGCCTGACTATCAAGCAGTTACTAATTGGTATTCTTGATAAAGTTGAACAATAGTGAGAAGCCCTAGAAGGGTTCCAATGATTGCAGCTAAAAGCCTAAAGAAGTCATCTGTGAGATCAAGAGTTGTAGTCTGAGAAGGTGGCATTCAGTTTCCTTCACACTTGTTGTGCATAAGGAAAGAGAAGCAAAAGCTTTGAGCTAATTGTTAGATCCAAGTCACACATGATCAGAACACATGATAAACTGATGCTGTATTGTATTCATACAGTCATGTCAGAGTTCACTATATGTGTCCATTGACCAAATGCTTCAAGGCCTTGCAAGATCAGCTTGAGAGTGAAGAGGTATAGAATAAACTTTAGCTCAAAGCTGAGGATATACAGCAAGAGCTAGCCTACTTATATACTAATCATCCATTGAGATTTTAATACTACTACTTATTGTATCTGTCCAAGTTGTTGTGCTCTTTGTCCTTGAGCATTGTTACTGTCCACAAAAAGACTGCTGTACATCATCAAGCATCATCATTGCATCAAAGGACAATGATGGACTGAGCTTGTTGTGATGACTAAGCCTGTCCCATGATCCTAAGCACTGGTGTAGGCACTCTGACTAAGCACAAATAGAGGTTAGATCAAAAAGAAAATAGAAAAATCATAATATCTATTCTGAGCAGATGGATTTTCTCTTGAATTTATAAAAGATCTTGCAGATGCAAAAGCATATTTCTCTATCCAGAGAGTTTGCTAGCCTTACAACAGTAACATCTGTGATTCCCATCATGACACTGGACACTGCCAGTCCAGCAAACAAAAAATGTAATAGACTGCTGATATAAGTAAGATAAGAAAGAGACTCAGAGAAGAAAGCCATATTTCTAGCAGGATCTAGAATGTAGACCTCCAGCCAAGTGATACATGCATATCAAGACAAAAAGTTAATGAGATTGGATTGCAGGAGATGAGAGCAATGAATGAGCAGCCAATTCAGCAAGCCCATTTGGATCTGGAGTAGAAAAGTTCTGATATCCATATCATCTAACTGTAAGATGGTGATGCAGCAGGTATTCAGAGATGCAATGATCCAGTCTCTAAACAAATGACAAAATAGAACATTGGCATCACACAGGATAACCATTCTAAACATTTTGAGAGATGATCCATCAAATGTGCTACTGTCTTCCTCTATAATGAGGTCTCTCATCAGTGACAAAATCCTGGAGAGATGGTTAATCATGCCATAGAGTGGTGCCATGCTTAAGAAGATTCTCCAAAGAAGCATGGTTTCTTTGCTTTCTCATCTCATCAATGGCCTCTTTTGCATATTCAAAATCTACTCCATAGAACTGGATCCAGATGATAAATTGAGAGTGATTTGACTCAGCTTTGGATGCATTAAAAAATAACATGTTATCTGCTCTGCAAAAATCAATGAGAACATGCAGTCCACTTTCTCAATGGGCAGATTTGTCATGAGCCAAAGGCAGATAACCTTGAAGAAGGAAAATGGAAGGTCACATCTGTCAGGAGCTCCAAATGAAAGAGAATCCAGCTTGAGGTGGAATAATAAATGCAAGCAAGTGACTAGAGTTGATTCAGATGCACTGATTCTGGTGGGGTGACTAGGATCCATGGCCCGAGAGATATGGTAAGACAACTGAAATGAGCTCTTTATTATCTAGCTTGTCAAGAATGATGAAGACCAATTCATTGGGGAGATCAGTGAGGGTTGCAGGGCTGGAGCCAAGATTAAGCTCAGACATCGGCGAGAGCCACAACTATGCCTGCAAAGTTACTGTTGAAGATCAGTGAAAAAGTTCCCAAGTGAAGATCTTACACAACTATTCACGTGACTTTCGCGGGGTAAGTATTCGAGTATCATCGATTCCATCGGTCATCGCTTCTCCCAACTTCTTCCGAGTCGCACTATCTTCGCTTGCAACTGTACAAATGTACATATATTTCAGGTTCACAGATACCCAGACCGTTGCTTCCGCCACGACCTGCTAAATTTCGCTTACTCTAGGCCATTATTTCACCTGCGTTTTCTGTCGCTTAAGTTGCTTGTGCTGGCACATACTCTCACTGACGAAACCTGACGGCATCCCTGAAAGCCGCATTACCTCGATCAGCCAGGGAAGGGTTTACTCCGAACAAGATCCTCGCTTGTTACTCCTTTTAGATTGTCCCTTAGAAAAACCATCTTTTTTTTGGATTCTGGCTGGGACTATGATATTTGGATAATCTTGATAGCTCTTGTCGCTCATCCATGTTTTTTTTTCTCAAGAGTATTATTAGAGTATGATACTCTTCTAGTTCTTGGACTTCAAATCTTTCTGACCTACGACGTCTTAAACGAGACGCACAAAGTCGCTCGTCTACGTCATCACCCCGCGGGCTTTGAACCCGGTCTTCTGCTTCACGGATCTGCCGATACGTGGCGAAAATGCCTCTTCATGGATGCAGCTGCTGTGGAGAACTGCCGTAGATTCTTCTCTGCACCCGACTCCTTGATTTTCGGCTTCGTATCTTTTGATACAATGCGTCTGATATCGTCTCTCCTGGTGATCCGATTCACGAATGGGGGTGATAAGTAAGGAAAGGATGGTATTTCGCTCGTCTCATGGCCGTTTCGCAGAAATGATGGTTGATGGGCCATGGCTGGGCTGTTACATCTTTCTCATCTAATCTTCATATCATCAACGTGAAGAGCTCCCTATCTACTTGGAGGTACCTTATACTCAATCAATTGTAGAGAATCACAAGGGCCCCAAATGGTAAACCGGAGTCCGTAAAACTCGTCGACAATTCTATAGAGCGCTTCTGGCACGTAGTAGCTCTGGCGGATTGTGTCTTCGGTCCGTAGTCCGTCCAGGCTGGCTAAATCCCTCGTGTATGTTTGGTAACCCAGGCGCCAGGAACAATTTACAAAGCGCCCGGCATCTGAATTCCCACCATTGGATCATTGGATGATATAAGTAAGACTCATCGATTTCTGCCCACCATCCCTGCAGTCATCAAGATGTCCCTTTCCCCCCTCAAGACTCAAAACCAACGACACCTCCCGGATACGGGATTGAACCTTAAAGTGTTCGACGGTCCTGATTATTTCACGTCAAACGTGCTTCAGATGCGGCGCCAGACGATGGGGCAGGAGCGAAGGGGGGAGTCAGCCTTGTGGTCCCCACAACCTCCCACTGCAAAAGCAACGGGACAGATGGTACTGGGTGTGTTCGAAGTTTGCTTAAAATAGCCGTAGGGGTGCTAATTAGCATGTTTATAACTAGATTCCACCCTGCCAAGGGACGCCACGCTAGGAGAGAGCCGTCGTTTCCAGGACTGCAAGATCAGTATGGACATGACTGTTCACGAACATCGCGAACTTTTATCTCCTGAACCAAACAGCAGCTCTCGGCCGGTAGTTTCTCCATCGACTGGTACGTCTTCCGAACGATGGGCGTATCCTTATCTGTCTGACATCACTCGTATTTCTTATTACAGCATCACGTCCTCGTGCCCTCGCGCCCTTATCCTCACTGCCAAAGCAACCCAAACTCAAGCTCGGTAAGCATGGATATTTCTCATATAGGGAGGTTGACTTGAGCAGGCCGTTGCTTCTAGCAGGACACCCATCTCCGCCCCTCATGTCCCTTCGGTTTGTGGCAGCCGGGACCTAGGAGGGTCTCAATTCACTTCCTTTCACCCTTCCATTTCCTCGCGCATCTATCATTGTTGTAACTACTTACATCCGACCAGATGATACCCCACATACTGTTTTATTCCTTCGCGATATTACGATTTTTAAAAACGGCCACTTCTCTATCAATGACATTTCTATCATTAAATATCAGCTTTTTTATTATGAACTTGTATCCGAAAAGTATTATCTGCTGGACACTTTGTCTTCTGTAGCCATCTATATTCAGCAGAGAGCACAGAAGAAGTCAAATGGGGTGTTGTCGTGCCTATCGAGAAATAATGACCAGACCAATTTGTGTATTCAAGCACCTTGCCGCTGCTATCTCACCATGCCACATGATATTTCAGCTGATGAGAGGAGACTAGGTAGCACCCAACTCAAAAATCTGGAAACTATAACATTGTGATGAACTGTTTCTATTCCATTTGAAGGCATGCCCGCCGATATTCAGGCTATTTTACATCATATATTTATATTTATATCGTTATAACGTCCAGTGCGCTCTCAGATCTCAGGCCCCGTTGTTGGCCAACAAGTTGGAGGTACCAGAAGCTTATACGTAGAGATCAGACTATGATCCAAAAATTGCAAAGAAGACAACTTACGAATACTAGTCAGGACACCAGAGACACCCAGGGACTTGACGAGGAGGCTCATTGCCGCCGGGGTCGTATTCCCGCTTTGAGATATGAGATACGCGACAATACCGGAAACATGGGGAGTAGCCTGAGTCGCAACAAAGGCTCAGCTCTGGCACGTAAGCACAGTCCGAGGATTAATCCACTTACCATGCTGGTACCGCTGATGTTGTTGGTGGCCGTCGGGCTGCCGATCCAGGCGCTGGTGATGTATGCTCCAGGAGCAAAGATGTCAACAACGGAGCTATCACCAATGGTTACTTTTGTAACTTGACATCACAAGCGAAAAAAAAAACTCGAACCCGTAGTTGGACCAGGTTGCTTTCGCATCAGCAATGGTCGTGGCACCGACAGTTATGACTTCGGCCACACGGGCGGGACTGGTGCCAGATGCGTCATCACCGTCTGTAGATAAATAAGCACTGATGAACATGAATAAAAGATGGATGGGACTTGCCATTTCCGGCAGCGACTACGACGTGAATGCTGGCATTGATGAGCTATTTTATTCCAGTCAATATCGGCACATGTGGAGTAGATATGATTGCTGACAGAGAGAACCCCACTGTCGAAGGTATCAGAGGCCGCACCACCGAGAGACATTGAAACGATGGAGGGTCTGCCAGAGGATTCTATCGGGCATTGAATCAACTCGCTGATATGGGAAGAAAAGATACATGAATCACTGACCTGTAGCATTAATGATCCAGTCAAATCCCGAAAGAATGTCGGAGATGTAACCAGAGCCAGCATCGCTCAGAACTTTGACGGCAATCAGGTTAACAGACTGGGATCTTTGTTAGTGAAAGCTGCAAATATAACCCCAAGGGAGTACACACCTTGGCTACACCGTATTGGTCGCCGCCAATAGTTCCGCTATAAGAGTAATTAGCTGAAGTCAGCGTACAAAAGTCAAGTACTGTACGCACGAGACATGAGTACCGTGGCCATTACCATCAGCATCGCTGTGATCATAAGATTCAGACAGCAGGCGACGAGAACAACATATTGCACTCACGCATAGCCACCGAATGTCGCTCCCCAAACCGCACGGCCACCGAAGGTGGTCTAATAAAGATGATGTTCGTCAGTATGAGAAATCAGATAGAAGATCATGCGCCTTACGTGTGCCGTGTAAATACCTGAAATCAGAATCAGAAAGATGTTTTTTTAAAAACCATAAGGTCAGAATCTTACCTGTATCAACGACATAGACATCTACACCATCTCCGGTGGCATTGTATGCGTAGGTATAGGTCAAAGCTCTGAAGATTTATCAGTCAGGCAGTGATCAGCAAAATTTATTGTGTAAAAAAGATATCGTACGATGTGTCAGAAGCGCTGAGGGCGCTTACTTGAGAAATCCGGTTGAGGCCCCAAGGGGCATCTGTTCTAATGGAAGGCGATGTATCAGTAACTCGAAGAACTTCTGAAACGGTGCCAGCACGTACTGAACGGTGTTAATGGAGACAACGCCATCTTCAGCGACAGTGGCTGGCGAGGCGCAATTTAGCGTGACTTTCCGGAAATAGGATTCCTGTACCTACCAACATCTATAATAGGGAGAGATCAGTATTCTGGCTGGCGGACATGCCTTAAAGAGGATGACTAACCAGGGTGAGCGAGGATGTTGTTCAGTGTTTCGTCATCAAGTACACCTAACATCAAAAGTTACTATCAATTCGGAAATTGGGTATGAAAAGAAGCTTTACTCGCGAATCCTGTGGAGGTGCGGTTGTATAACGCAGTGACGGACGAGCCGAGGCCCTCAACAAGCGAGTCCCTTGACGTCTTGTCCGTCATGGTCACGATGTAACTATTCTCTTTAACGTTTCCCGCAAACTTCTCAACCTCGCGGAGCGCAACGTGGGGAGCTCCTAACACGGGAGTGAGAGCGGCTGCAAAAGAAATAGCGGTGGTGAAGAAAGACAGCATGATGAGAAAAGGATGCCGAGGAGGGTTCGTGAACTGAGAGCACTCGGTAAGAGAGCCCGTCTGCCTTGAGCAACACCGCACCCCTGGCTTTTAAACATCCTTCCAGATAGTGATAGATTACAGGCGATATAAGGATCAAATGTTGGCCGAGTTCTGCAATGCGTATAGGTACGTCCGCCTAGGGACTTGCAAATATTGAGGCTTCGCATTACATGTGCTGCCTTCCTTTCAGGGATAAGGAACGATTAATATGTGGTTCGAGATGCCTGTGGCGGCATACGGCAATGAGTAATTTTCATACTCATTCTGGAGATCACGACGGTTCCTTCCCAATGGGCTGGCTGACATTGGGTGAGAACATGATGCCGAGCTTCCAGACTATAGTAGCTCAGTCGAGATAAGTCCAAGTTTGACACAGTCCAGTTTCTTCGGAAGATAGAAGCGCTAAGATCTTTTAGATATGATATCTGTGACCCGAAATTTCCCCAGATTTAGGTTATGTCAAGCTTGTGCTGGTGGAGTTCGACCAAGGCGTATGCGCTATATTTAGGCTCCACGTGCGGATTCGTACCGGAAAATGCCGCGTTATTGTTATTATTGACGTTGCACTCTCATGACCTTGACCGACCTCGAGACGGGCACCGGGGCAACTCTTTACTGCGAGGCGATAGATTTGGGGAGATAAAACTGGGATCGACTGGCGGGCATGCCCTGTGGCTCACTTCATTTCTATCTAGATGGAAGGATTTCTGATAATGATGAAACGAATTCACACGTTGATTCCTGACTACCCATCGCGCGTTGGGTGTCAAGATGGTGGTGAGTCGAGACGGCCCTGATCTATGCTTCTACCTTATCAAACAAAGGTCCCTTTCGCCCGTCGGCTTGTATAGCCTCTTCAATCATCCGACCTCTCCATTGTCCCTGTCTTCAAGCTAGGCCTTGTCGTTATCTGTTCTTCGTCACTGGTCAGAAAGCACATGCACCACGATCATGGGAGCTTGGCGTTAAGCAAAGTTCTTCGTGGGAGACCCGATATCGATTCAACGAAATGCGGTTGCAGTGGGTAGGTTTGGACCACTGGCATCCCCGTTGAGTTCCCCCTCGCAGAATGATGCATTTAGCTGGACAATGTCATCTTTGGGGATCGAATACTTGCCCATCACTCTCATGGCATAATTCTTTCACCTTCCATCTTGCCGACTTTGAGGACGGGTGCGATTGGGGCTGCTTCGAGCTTCTCCCTCAGAATGCCGCTGACGGGCCAACAGCTTCATCTTTGTCTGTCTATGATCACATGTACTTTAGTAACTAGAGGCAGTGGTATGGACCCATATTGTGCATATTTCGGATATTTTACTAAGTTCCTGTTGTATCTGATAGCTTCGAAGAAATGTTGGTCCAAGTCCTCTCAGTTTCTATTATCTTTCTACAAAAAGGACCCCTCCCAAGGCCCATGCGTCGCTTGCGCGGTCGGCCCTACAGCCGTTCACAATAAACATCCTTTCGGACCGACTTTATGCCCTATTTGTCGAACTCCGACAACGGTTCCTGATAAAAGGCGCCCACTACAACACCTTTCCCTTTGGACCATTACCACCACCACCATCACACCCACGACCTTATGCAATCTTACGCGCAAACAGACCTTGGCCTGAAGCTCATCAATTTCGACGAGTTCACCGCCACTCTATCTCAATCCCGGCCCTTGAAGTCACAGTCGGCTTTGTGGCGCAAACAATCGTTGGGAGATCAGAGACTCTCACACCTCGAGATTTTCGGTGAGATGTCTTTGAGTTTCATCAGCTGAGAAAAGTTGTTCATGCCGGCAATGCCTCGCTGTAGATTCCATTCCCCTCGAAATCATTACCCTCGGACAATCACGCCGCTGCGTCGACAATCAGATGGATATATTCAACGAAGGAGAAGCGAGGGCCATCACTTCTTATGGATGGAGGATGCCATCCAATTACGCCTTGTACAGCGGCGGAGGCGTGAGCTCGCCGGCAACTGGTACGTCCAGCTTCCTAGGCTCTTCAATTCGAATGACCCTGACCATGTCAATCATATTTCAGAACCTCGTGCACTCTTGCCCCGCGCTCGATTATCACCGAAGCAGGCTAGTTTCATGCGTGGTGGGTGCAATTCCTGCAATTTTTGCGAGATTGCTGATTACAATGACGGGGACTTGCAGGACCACCCACCTCTCCGAAGAGTCCAAGATTCAGACTTGGCACAGCTGGATACTAGAGTCGGTGTTCGTTCAACGACAACGCTATCCTCCTTCATATTCAGGAAAGTATGTATACTAGGAGCATTTTCCTTCACACATCCATTAGCATATGTACTACCACTAGTCACGAGCATTGTATAATCCATCTTGTTCACTCAAAAGAGCCTTGAGGCTCATAGGACCATCTATCTAGTTTTATTTCTTCTCCGAGTTTCAATCTATTTATCTTCGAGAACTGAATCTCAAGCTGAAGTTTATTTGGAGCATTGTTGGCCAATATTGCTCCACGTGGAGAAAACGCATTTTCTGCCCGACCTATTCTTGCCCGCACCATCGAAAAGATCATTCGCCCCGTCCGAGAAATAGCCCCATTCATGATATAGTAATCATCAGGCAAGAATCGCTGTCTCTGGCCACCCTGAATCCCATGCTGCCCAGCGCGTGCAGTATCCGTTGTCTTTTACGTTTGGCCACAATCCGCGGGTTCCACGTTTCTGCCATGTACTTTTCATATTTAGCCTCGGCTTTCATCATCCCACGATACGACCCTTCTAATTCTCTTTTTCGGGTGCTTTCATATCTCTGCCACGACCCTTGCCTCACGGACCGGCAACGACGATCTTTTTACCTCCTATGGACGCGATTCGAATTTCGCTTCACGAAGCGTGGCGATGTCTTTCGCCGATTCGACTTTGGCGACGATACAGAAGAAGAAGCCCGTGTTCAAGCCTCTGCCGGCACTCGACTAATGATTAACCTTGCTACACACATCGAGGTACAACCGCGGACGGAGCAGTATGAAGTAGCTCAATCACTCTTTTACGCGTGCTATCTCAACAAACTTCAAGATCGCATAGTGCCCGTCCATTTCGGGCTCTGGATCGGCCAAACATCACGGGCTGCCAGTGGGGTTGTCCTCTGTGCGATTTTGGAATGGGGTGGCCATCCAATCCAAGGTAGAGAATTTATACGCATGAAAATCGGCACCCCCGGGCCAAGGTTTTTTGTTCACCGCAAGGCATTTATGCTCACTTTTGTACGTGTACATAGCATACAGTTTGCCGTGGCCATTCAGGAGTTGCACGATGGAGATATCAGCTGGATGACTGTCGCCACTTGCTTTACAACGAGGAGGTCTGGGGCCGTTCGAATCGTAGATTTCACGCAGGCTACGGGACGTCACGTATGCCGGCGCCAGCTGCCTCTTATTCATTATGCAGCTTGTCCATTCGAGGAGATCATGCAGCGCGAAGAACTGATTCAAGCCGCGAGGCTTTTGTGTCTCTTTGGCTGCTGAGTCTGGTTTTTTAAAATCCGAGGCTTTTCTGAACTGGCAGAGGACAAGGACGTGGATATGAAAAGGGCATTCATGTTTTACAAACGCAAGAGAGCTTTGGGACTTTCACATCCTCTGGCACTCGAGGCCCAGTTGCGATTTTTTTTTTTGCGGTAGTACCGGGATAGCTACTGTCGTGGAGCCGGACAGCTTGACCAGAGTTTGAAACTGACGGGGAGGCCTCACAGCTACACCCGCCAGTCTTGTTGCTCCAGAGGTAATAACGCGCTGGCTTACCATGTTACAATTAAAGAACCACCTATGCTATCTAAAGCTAAGAGTGAACTCCCGACTGACCGAATTACGAAGAAATTTATCTAAAAGGGTTAGTAAATATAATTGAGTATAAGGGCGACGCAATAAATATGATCTTGAAGGAGACTGGTGTTTCTCGACGGGGATCAAATTCATTTCGGAGACGGAGTAATATGTTTTCTCCGTAGTTTGACCTCGAATTCTTACCGCCCCGATAGAAGCGATGTTAGTTGTAACACTTCCACTACTAAATGTATATGTAAGATTATAGAGTCAAGGCAGTCACTCTCGCGCTATGCAACTTGAAGCGCGCTGACATGCTTCAGTTCAAGAATTCCTCTGAGCTCTCTTCAAACTCAACATTGCGGATCTACAAGACATCCCTGCTAATTACGTGGCCATATCCGCTGTCGAGTTCCTACTAAATTGTACCTCAAAAAAAAAAAAACATCCCGATCGCGCTGCCAAACAAGGCAGGTGAAATCAAAAAAATGAAAAAAAAAATACAAATGCGTAATCATTCTACCAACGCAATCAACCACCACCACCATGGACATCGCTGAGTTTCATGCTGCTGTGTACGATACTGTGAGGCATATCCCCATGGGTCGCGTCACTTCCTACGGTGCGCCCTTAGCCCTTCACAATCCTCTCTCCAAGACTGCATCGATGCAGGCCACATCGCGAAACTCATTGGCATGCCTACCTATTCACGACACGTTGGCCAAGGTACTCGCGACCGTCGCCATAGAATCTCCACTTAATTACACATTTGATATGTAGCATTGAAGTTTACGTCGCCTGACGCGGATCCCCCTGTGCCATGGCACCGCGTCATTTCGTCGACAGGCGCAATATCGTCGCGGGGCCCGGGGACGGATGGGGCGCAACGGCAAAGGGAGGCGTTGGAGGCTGAAGGCGTGGAGGTGTCTGACCCAGGATTAAAGGTCGATCTGAGAACGTGGGGATGGTTTCCCGATAATCTCAGCGAAGAGGGAGTTTGACGTGCGGTCGTGATGGGCAATCCCTAGTTTTTTCCATTCGCAGCTGCTGACTGTGAATAGCCTGGAAAATATGCTAGCTTTCAAGACCAGCATTCTCCTGACAGATTTGCGGTGTATGGGCGCGGCCTTCAAGTGGTCATCGTGTCACTCCGTTGGTCTCAGTATACTAAGATTATTTTATGTATCGATTGGAGCAACTTATTCTTCATTCTGATAGTGATACAACCCGCTCAAAATATGAATTATTTTGAGACAAGGGAAGAATGAGAAGTACTCTAGGATATCTTGTGAAACTAGAGGCACTCTAATAAATATTGATAGAACATAGTACCGAATGTGCCTGATCATTTCTTGAAAATGACGTCAAGACATGTTTCTACACAGTGATAAAGCAAGGATAATAAGGATAGAAGATCTAAGTGGTGATGGTGAATTTTAGCTTATCGCCCTCAACCTCGCACTTGACCGCGTTCATATTCTCGACGAGGTAATGAGCCCCACAGCCCTCGATTTTCGACCGCTCGTGCGAAGTGCAAACAGCGATCACAGTAGCACCGCTAGAAACACCCGCCCGGATGCCGGAAGGGGAGTCTTCAAATACGACACACTTGGAAGCGTCGTACCCGAGACACTTTGCGGCAAGGAGGAACGGATCGGGAGCAGGCTTGCCAGCCTTGAGGCGTTTGTCGTCGGCAGTGATGGTGACAGGAGGAGGGGTTATCCCGACGCGAGTCATGCATCCGTAAGCTGTTGTTAAAAGAATACAAGTCAGAGACCGGCGCGACTCAGAAGAGGACAAGGGAGCCTTACCGTAAGTCTTGGCTCCGGAAGTCGCGACAGCGTATCTGCCTGCGGGAATGGAATCCATCATCCTCTTCACTCCAGGGAGAATGCGGACGGAGCGGTCAACGCTCGCCGCTTCGATCTGCCAAGCCGCGAGTTCATCCTGACGCATCTTTTTGTCAAGTTCCTCCTCCTCCTCAGTGACCTCGTTGTGGATCGACTCCATTACGGCGTCCTCGAAGGTAGGTTGGTACACCTGAGCCTCAGGGACGGCGCTCATACGAAGGAGGTTCTGGAGCCGGCTGGCGAACGAGGGTCGACGGGATTGGGAGGAAATGATCGAGGAAGCGCGAGAGCTCGGTGCCGAGCTCGCAGGGGTCAAATCGGGGGTACCGAAACCCGAACTTGCGGGGGAACGGAGGGGTGAGTCAATGGGAGAATTAGAAAAGGAGTTGCTGCGAGAGCCGGGACCATGAGTCATGTACGCGTCGGCGAAGAAGAGAATCGACTCTTCAAATTTGGTAACCTCGTCGTCCATTTCATGCTCTTTGATGTGAGGCTTGAACGCAGCGAGGTTGTCCACGGCACGTTTACCATGGGTAGCCGCGATGACATAGGCTGGGTCCTCCCCAATGTCTTTTGCGACTTTACCCCAGGCGGCCTCTACAGCTTGGATAGAATCCGTCAAGGTTCCGTCCTATTCACACACTGGCAGAGTTAGGTTGGGACAACGACGATAACGAGGAACACACCATGTCAAACAGCACCGCGTCGGCATAGAAAGTTTGAGTCGAAGGCATGGTTTCACGAAAGAGGTAATATAACAAGAGGAGTAAATCAGAGAGAAGAAAGCCTCGACTGGAAATTGGTGAATTGGTCATAACATGTCACTTTATATACAAGGATGCTTGGATGAATAGGGGAATGTGACGCGAGGACGGTCGAAAAAATTTCATCTTGAGTCGTCATCTGGGCCAGCATCTCGAATGCGAAACGGGTTGCCATAACGGGAGACACTGTTGGATAGCTGAAGGACAGCCACTAAATAAGAAACGCTGATTTAAGCATTGGCGATGGGGTATTTCCATTATGCTTGTAAACGCCCTTCCGACGCTCCACAGGTTTCAAGATCTACGATCAAGCTTTCTTTTTTTTTTTTTTGGTATGACAGAAAGACAAGGCTCCTGACTCCAAGGACGTTCCCCTAGAATGAATAGAAATATGAATGGAAAACTTGAATAGAAGCCTGCGGGAATGGTAGATGTCAACTTACACAGTAGTTTCTATTGATAAACACGAGCGCGATGCAAACATAAGCGGCGACGATGCCCTTTTTGGATGATATGATGAAATCGGTTGCAGACATAAAAGGATTGTTGTCACGTTTTCCTGGAGACACCCCACAACACCCGGCGCACAGCCAGGCACGGCCGATCGTGTCTTGTTGTGCGTGCTCTGCCTAGCAGCATCCTCCCCCCTCCCCCCCTTTCGCGATGGCTCCTTTTGGTTCATCGTTCTTGCTTTTTTCGCGTGGAGACGTATTTTATATCGCGTGTTTAGTATTGTAGGGCCCTCTATCGACTATGCATGTCGGGATTCCGTCATTGGCCCTCCGTGAACGTTAGATTTGGACCTACGTGTTGCTTCTTCCGCGTGCAACTGGAGCATTAGGTACCAAGATACTAGGAGCCTTATCTCTGGGCTGGCGTTCTGCCGCACTGGCCTTTGTTCCCTCTGGCACTAGAATGGCATTCATGTGTTCATGCATCAGAAACGTGAAGCAATACATATCTGCACAGACCTGCATGTGACACAGCCGAGGCCGAGGTACGAATAACAAAGAGAGCTCTATTTGACTGAGATGGGGGACGTCGCGCCGCCTCCACTGCAGGTCGTTTCATCTGGAAGATTGTGGCTTGATTACCGCTCGGCGTCTTGCATCATGGGATCAGATGGGCCTCCGTCCCCCGCATCTGTCACTTGCAAAGACCCTCGACTCGGAGAGCCATCGAGTCAGCTTGTTTCTCTCACACGAATGTATGCGCAACAAAAGGTACCTGACGTCACGTAACAAATCGTTCATCAAGTAGTTGGTTCTGTACCCGCCTCCAGACCCGTTGTCGTCATATTGCGATGAAGACATCTATACTCGTCCTTCCTCCGGCATTTTCTCATGCCTTAAGAAAGTTTCCAGGGCGGAATGAAAGGTACTGAAAGGAAACACATCCAAAAGATCAACATTTCGAAGTTCTTCCATTCGCTTTTTGTGGATGGCGAACTTGACCCGAAGAACGACTCGGGGTGCTTTGTTCCTCAGATGTACCTGCACGGCAAATTTGCGTTCATGTGAGGGCAGTACAGACGTCCGCTGTCCTGATATTTCCGAGCTGCGACGGTGTGTGAATTTGCACGTACGTTTTTAAGGAACCTCCTTGTTGAGGATCACAGAAGCCCGAGTGATCTTTTCTGCGTTAAGCACTGATTGGGCGGTTGCAGTCAGGTAGGAACTGGTAGGATTACTATTTAGGCAGGTGAGTGCCACAATTGATAAGATAATAATTGATGGAAGCCCTTTCAGATAAGCATTAATGGGGAAGTGGTATCCTTGGTCGTTGCCGTATTGTATACGTTTCGACGCGCCGGGGTGTCGTTTCCCCATTAATGCGCATTGAATTTTACACAACATTTTTCGATTTTTACGAAGACATTTTAACTGTTCAGGCTTGAACTCGAAGAATTGTAAACAGCTATTACTTCCCTTCAAGGTCAAGCAGTCAGTTTATTGGACCCCGTCGCCGTCAATGAAAGTCTTATGCAGTATGTATTTCATGATTATATTATCGCAGGCGGGGAATGCCATTCTGAACCAGACTTCATGCTTATGGCCATGGACGGCGTTTCGAAACTGCACTTTGTTTCCGACTTCAAGGATCAGCCTGTTTAACTTCGATAAAAAAAATTCCGGTCCTCGACTGACCCGAGACCGGCACTGACAGTGGCACTTTGCATCATCCCAAGGTATATCGGCGTCTATCTGTCCAAGTCTTATGTCGATGATCGTGATCACGTCGTTCGTCCATTCTCTGAGGTCAGGGAAGATAAATTTTGTGGCAGTACGAGTTTTTTTTTTTTTTTTTGGGTGATTACAATGTCATTGTCCATTCCAAATCCCAGAGTTGCAGAGACTACAGACATAATCGACCACTTAAATATCCATGAATGCGTATATGTACAATTGCCTATGATAATCCCTAATAATTTCGAAGCTATCAAAGGAAATCAAAGTTAGTTTGCTTGGAAAAGTGTCAAAAGCATAAGAGCCTCACCTTCGTTGCCGCATTGTTACAGCTGTGTAGATTATCTACACCTATGTTTTGCGAACCACAGGTCGGAGCGGCACGATTAGTTATGTTTAGTATGACAATTGCATGTGAATTTGAGAATTTGATTCGGACTCGGACTCGGAATGCGACAACCGTGGCAGGCGGCGGCGTAGAGAATGTATACGACAGCGGGGAGACGAGGACGGCGTGAAGGATAATTGAAAAGAATGACGAAAGCATATCCGATATTGACGGCGGGGAATGGCGAGGTAGAAACAATTGGACAAGTCACATCTACAATTGAGGGTCGTCAACACAAATGCAACCGTGAAGACCACGTCGTGGACTCACCCACATGTCAAATCTTTTCCTCCTTCGCGAACATCCAATGATATCTGGCGGACCGGGATCCACGGCCCGCATAACGCACGTCGAGGGACTCGAGGTCGTGAGCATAACAAAGGATATCACCTTGAGATTGTCATCGAAGTCTATGGTGCACTCAAAGTCCTCCGTCCACCCCCTCCGACTCGACCTCCACGTCCAATGCACGCTCCCGAGGAGAATGACGCGCCTGGCGTGCGGCAACATTCTCATTGAGTGCTTTTCCATCGCAGAGCGCTCGTAATGGGTGGCGAGCAGATCAAAGTATGACCGAACGGCGTTCAGCCCCGTGAATCGATAGGCCTCGGGGGTTTTACAGTCAGCGAAGGAATGTTGTATGGTGACCGTATGGTGCTGAGAAAAATGTGCCAAGAGGCGTATAGACGGGGAGTTATTGGCAATGTCGGAGAAAAGATTATCGGCGACGGCTGTGAGGTCTGATACAGAGAGTGACATTGTGGGAGGGAAGAGCTCGAACGTTCAGCTAAGGCAAGTATAGGATGTACTATATAAATCATTGGACCTCGGGCAGACGGGGAGGTATTTTTGGCATGGCCGCAGAAGGGTTCCAGGTTCGCAAGGACTTGGCGCCGGCTGGTCGCAGTCGAGTGAGTAAAAAACATAATACGGGCATGTCTACGGACTTTGTTCCCTCGCATCATTGGTACTTTGTACGCCGTCCCAAGAGTAAGAAGTCGATGTGATAACGTCAGTTGAAATCCGGCACGTTCACGCGGCCCTTCCACGGATAACAGCCGACAGCTTCGGATTACATCGGGAAATCCATGAATGCTGTTCAGTCCTTATTATTACTCGAAATTGCTCGAGAAGCGGAAGAACCATGGAGGTATAGATAAGAGTTAGAATGAAAGGTAAGTGTGGCACCCAGATAGTACTATCTCTAGCGCCGGGGGTACAAAGGTACTTTGACGTCCGGTGCAGTTTTCTGACCGGAAATTGTGCCACAGATTTTCAGGGTGTAGTACGAAAACAGCAAGCTTGCTCCGGAGTGCAGAGTGCGCTGGGCCGCGATTTCATAATCCACATGGCGATTAACGAGATGTGTGTACGCCAGTGGGGTCGATGACTCAGTTCCAAATGCCAGCTGAAAATTTTGACTCGGACGTTAGCCAAGACAGGTTGCAAATGAAACTCGGGCATCGGTCGTAGTCCACTGCGCTAATAAGCATTAGTACGTGCTCGGCCCTACATTGTCGAGAGATCAATTCAGCGCCTCCGAGACCGATAGATAGCTTTCCGATCCCCAAATACAGTACCAGGGTCAGGCTCCGCACAGTTCCTTGTGGCGTGTCCTTGTGGATCTCCTCTAAAAGGAATGTTGCCTAGCCGTTGCCGTGGAACGTGCGCTTCCGGGTGAAAGATGAACGCAGACAGGAGTAAAAATCGCCACCGTGAAGCGAAAATAATATAGGAAAGACATGGGTCCATATTTGCTACAGCTGCTATTTCAATTTCGCTATACCCTTAGCGCGATAATCCGACGATCTCAGTAACCCAAACGAGCGTCGACATATTATACGTCTCCCAGTCGTGTTTCGCGGCACCAAAAGGTACCAATTTCATCATGCAGAATTGTTGGGGCTTTGTGGCGGCGGTTCCGCGTGCCTTTTAAGAAGACCCATTCGATCGGACAGGTTGCTCGCCAGGAAGTAATTTCGGTGGTTTTCCTATCGACAGAACAACAGGTACCTTTCATACGCCTGATGCTAATTACTACGCAAGTGTACGCACACTGTTAGGCCGCCAGAAACCATCTCAACAAAGATAAATACAGGCGGGCCAGCGGCTTGTCGTTAACCATTAACTTTTGAATGTGGGCGCGGTCAGTACTTACCTTCTGAGTCAGTGAAAATCAAAATCAGGGATCGAAGGACTCTCGGGCATGATGTGATTGAGGTGGCGCGTGATACTATAACATCTCGACACTCTCAAGCGCGGCTTCGTTCATGATGATTCGATAACCTAGTATCAGAGAAAAAAAACCTGCGGAATCAGAACACACACGCTCGACAGCATAATCAAGGGCTCTGAGTCAGAGCCACAGATCCGTTCGCGCGAGTCTCGAGTTAAAGTCTCAGGGTTGGTGTCACGATAAGAGTAAAATCTCCGTTGTTCCTTCCGAGCTCTAAAATGGGGAGCAGCGAAGCTTATAGACTGAGAATCAGATGATCAGGAGCCTCGAAAGATCAGGTACAAGTGGCGTCGCTTGTCTATCCTCACTCGAAATCGTACGCAATGCCCGAACGTATGTAAGTGGATTCGGATCATAGGGACAGTGATTCAGAAGCCGTAAAGCTGCGTTTTGAATTGTTACCGAAGGGATGAACTGTATCGACGGAAACTGCCAGGCTTACCGTTATGTGGCGTAGAAACCGTTCCTTGTCTTACACACTATGGATCCTCCCTTAGGATTGTACGGAAGGTGCAAGGTCCGAGGAGTATGGGTAAGAACGAATAGCTGAGCCCATGACGAAGATACGGACCGAAAATAATCTGCACCAGTTCGATTCCGATTTCCTGGACAGTATGGGAAATGCCTATGAAAATCTAGATGTGGCCAGCGTTTAGCAAACGAATATTAAAACGCACCGGTCAAATCCAAAATACTACCCAACGTTCGGTCCATCCTGCCCAAGGAAGTGGAACCACTCATTGCGCTTAAATTTGAATCTCTAGGAGACGAAGATAGGCAAATAGTGCCACGACCTGGACCCCGACTCGATACTTGCTTGACCTTGCTGATCGTATTTGATGACATAGATGCATGCATTTTACCGGCGCAGCCCTTGAGGAAGAATCGAACCAAGAATCCGGTGCATGCCTAGAGAAGGCATCAGAATGCCCTTGCACAGCCTATTCGCCTGACCGCTGAAGTTCAAGACCTAAAAGAGAAAAACATGTCAAGTTCCTTGGCGCTCTCGGATGAGCATTTCTTCCCAAAGATTGATGGATAGCGGCGAGCACGAAGATCAACTTGCGGGAAATATGCTTGGACGAATATGATTGGACCATCGCGTCTAAGATATTCGCAAGACGGTGCAAGATTCCGTCCTGGCCAGCACGAAAAAATTTCAGTTCGATTACGACATCAGGGTACATACTTACCCGCGAGAGCGTTCGAGACCTGCAAAATGCTCATTTACAGCATAGAATTATATCCTTATATAATCCATACAGGCAATCTGTTCAACTGGCGCCCTGAACATGCACCGATGCACGCCTAGAGTATTTGAATTGAAGCGATACGCTGAAAAAAGTTGTCAGGAGTCAAAACGGCGAGTTGGACATACTTCAGACGTGCTTTGAACATCTGACGGACTGGCTGTCCGTCAAATCCTCGGATTTTAGTGCTTAATGAGAGTTCTGGGGCAATGTAATTGCCAAATAACTGTTCAACCTTCAACCTTCGACATTGACTCCGTTGCTGAGTTAGAACGGTGTTGATCGATGATGGAAAGGAACGGGACCCTTTGGGACAGTCTTTGGCAGTTCTTCGTGCATCTGCTGTGCTTCTATGAAGGCCCAAAGTCTCTGTCCAATTTGTAACATCTCGATTTATACATGCCCACATCCTAGGTAAATATATTAACAAATAAAAAGATCCAAAAACGGGTGAAACGAACATAAACCTAGCCATGTAGCCCACTGCGATGCATACGCAAATCGTCCACTCGTCTTTTACCTATTCTTAGATTGATCATCAAGTCACCAATCGAGTTAAGTCGACCCGTCGGTCCCGGATTCCCTAAAATCGTCCACAGCTGAAAGCCGCGTATCGCATCAACACTACGTCCCTTTGCAATCCAATCGATTCGGTGTGTTGCTACGAAAGCACATCAAGAAGACCTAGAATGGAGAAGCACGACACGCGAACTAAAGATTAGCTGCGCGGAATTTCCAGGTTATATGGACATCAAATTTACAGCGCAGTCTACAACCCTCAAAACCAATGACTTTCTTCGATCAAGACAATGTCGCCTAGTGAAAATTTGAGGCAACTACGGTCGACTTGTCGATGATCCTCATTACAGCGAAAGTATTTTTTTTTCCAAGGACACTCAAAGCAAACGGCACTGCTTCGCATCAGTACCATATTCACCTCGGATACACACGAATTTGTTTCCACTGAGTATACATACGCGACGCATCAGCAAAAGTCAAGTGCCATAATGTCGAGAATCTCTTACTAACTGCGGAACTCGCGTATATGCCCGAGCATACTAATGATAACACCTTTGCTTTGGCGTAAATTTTATGTTTCGAAAATACCAACGGAAAGGCATTGCCCTCCACCCAGCGCTGCTACGTATGACCAGACGAAAAAAAGAAAAAAAAAAGAGGATCCGCCACGCAGGAGCATCGTAGCCGAAGAAGATGCCTAGAAAAGACCGAGCGATGTTGAAAAAAAGCGCCAGGGTTCAGTAGAAAGCAGTATCTTGCATTAGGAAGTTTGTCGCGGGTACTACGTATTCATTACTTGGCGATCAGATCGGACCGTGAAGAGCCTTGGTCATGCATGATAGTCTAGGACAAGACGTGCTGCGATTGACCCAAACACTAACGAGAACGCGCCAATGGTCGCAAGATGCCTCAAAACATCAACTCGGAGGCTCTGCGTCCAGTTCTATGACGTAGATCATGATGCACAGGACGACGGCACTAATGTTTCCTGATTCTAGCTATGTAGGTGGTTTGAAATAGCCAGCGAGGAAGAGCCTAGAGTAGCATTGCTTCAGCTGTAAATTCGAAATAATGCAGCTCACCGCTTTCAACGGATTTTTGAAGTGTTGGCAGCTAATATCTTCTCGGAGCTTCAAACTTCAGCCAGACAGTCGATGATCGGTCGGTCCAAATAGCTTTTCCCACGTAATGGCGCCAAGAGCATGAAGACGGCAACAGACGGCAAAATAAGGCATTAGATGGGTATCGGTTAACGTCTCTTTCCCTCCAGAAGTCGAGAATTGAGATCAAAGGAAACGATGGCCGAAAAATTTGCAACTTGACGTCATGTCGGCGATTCGGACCGATCGAACCGATCTCCGAAACAACAGATCGGCTCTCGACCTCGGAACTTCAAAAAAGCTTCAAGAGCCAAGGTCAGGTTGGTGGCAAGCCAGGCTTGGTCACCGTCTTCGTTTGAAAATGCAAAAGGAAGACCAAATTCCATCAGGCCACTAACGGTTGTTATCCTGCCCGTTTAGATGACTACTATTAATGAACGACCGTGAGTACCGCTTACTCCCACCTCACTTTTTGGCAATCCGAGGGTAAGGCGGTCAGAGACATCCTCGTTTAGAGCATTCGATTATGAGGGTGCTTCGGATAGCCACGCGACCACTAAGGAAAGATCTATAGGGATCAATAAAAATCTGACATTATAAGAAACGGACGTACATTATTTACTCTGTCCGAGCCCGGGGCTAACAGTGGGCCTAACGACGAGAAAAAATAGGGCCGGGCGTAGCCTCGATCCCATGCCTTACCAATACAGCTGAAGCTGGAAGGGGATAGGGAAGGTAAGCCATGAAGAGGACCCGTGGACGCGGGAGATATCTGGCAGGCCGTATATGTTACAATGCTCTCATCTTGTATCATCTTGTACGCCAAGATGCTTTGAAATTGTACAGGTCTAGGAAGATGCCTTGAAGGAAACGATCCGAAAAGATGCATCATACCCGGGTCATAAGTAATGAGAGGAGTCCGTCCCCGACTTTGTTTCCTTTCTTGCCGTCGTCGATGCTTTCCACTCCATCGTAGAAATCAAAAGGACAAGGCGCCAATGGCTATACCTATGCTGAAACCGAGCCTTCGCGACCATAAGAGGTTGTAGAGAAGCGGAGGAAAAGACAGCAACAAAGAGCTTAGAGAAGTGATAAAAGATACGAGATTGACAAGCTCAGCCGGTACTTACCAACAAACCGTCCATGCGAAGACCTGCGAGGCATAGAAAGCAGCGAGAAACCGGGTAGGTCATGAAACAAGGGCCAAGATATTGGTAACCAGGCAAAGACATCATCTGTTCACGGAAAGACGGTAAAGATGTATATAAAAAGGGAGAGCAGGCGTGAGATTTCTTGCATGTTGCCTAAAAAAGGATCATCAACGTTCCTCTTTGGGATCATGCCATCAAATTGCGGTTTCTCCAGAACAATATTGGACCCTGGACGATATCATGATTCGAGTCCCATGGCATCCGCATTTTTCTTGGTGCTTCTGCTGCTTTAGGCCCCGAGATCTTTTTATCAGGTTTTTTGTCAAAGCTCCACGTTTTTCGACGTTTTTCGTCGCGCTTGTACGCCCCGCCCTTCACACTCGTTTTATCGTCGCTCGTTTTTCTCGTCTATCATAGGATCTCCTCGCATCCCTCGACTCTGATAATATGCATGCCCCCCTATCAAGGCCCACCCATACACATAGAGCTCATCGCGCCATTCCCGCTTATTCGCTCGAAGATCGTGCGCCGGCTTTGATTAATCTTCCGATATCCCTCCCTGAGATACCCATTATAAGTCCTATCGTAACCCTGCTCGTTGCTGGAATCAATCAGCAGGAAGGGACCTCTACAGTCACTACAACCTCGACAATATCCGTCTTGACTACCAGTCCAACTGAAAGCAGCACCTCAGCCGCTTCGACTTCCGCGGAAAGCTCTGGAAATTCGAATACTTCTGGCAGCACTGACTCTAGTTCAGACAGCTCGAATAGCTCAAGCTCCAGCTCGGGGAGCCCAGACTCAGTGAGCGATGTCGATGACATATCGGATAGTGCCGGGAATGGGAGTTCAGGAAGTGGGAGTACCGTTAGTTCGGCAAGTTCTGGTGTGAGCTTAGCAAGCACCGGGAGCACAACTTCTGGAAGTGGGAGCGTGAGTGAAACCATGATCAGCGAAACGGTATCCGGGAATGTAATTGGCGCGACTTCCGTCGTTGCCTCCACTAGCGACGGTTCTTCGGTAAATGCGTTCATCTTTACCTCCAGTGCTATATCGTCGTCCGGAACCGGTAGTATCGAAGGTATCGACTTTCTTTCTCCCACCCATTCTTCTGGGACTGTCACTTCGAGTGAGACGACGGCCAGCACGAGGGCGAATTCACAGAGCGTCCCTTCCGCCACCGACACGGCGACAGGCATCCAGGGGCTCTCAGCCAGCACCATCGGATCGCAGCCTACTCCCAATTTGAACATACTCTCTGGCAACCCGACTGCTGGAAGTACAGCATCTAGTGTTTCTACTCATGCCGTCAACGGAGGAACAGATGGCACAGAAGGAACTGGTAGAAATTCTTCGAATGGCAACGGGGGCGGTGGTCTTCCTACTGGCGCCACTGTCGTCATTTCTTTAATCGTTCCTGCCATATTCGCTGCATCTCTCCTATTCTTCATCCGACAGCGTTTTCGAGCGAAGCGGAACAAGCGCAACCAATCGTGGTTCTCCAATATGATGTCAAGGAATGGAGACAATGGAGCTTCTGGGAGCGGTGCAGAAGCCACCGCTGGGGCACGCTCGATTCGGAGCAGCTTTGGCACATCGTACGAGTATAATGCGACGTCTTCTGCGTCCGTCGATGTGCCAGTGCCCGCTCTCCCACCCATGGCAGAAATACGCAACACTCACAGTCCCGGACTTCTGTCATCTGGCCGTCAGTCTCCTCCTTTCCCGCCGAACCCCGACAATCTTCCACAACCCGACATGTGTGGTGTCTCGATGTACAGCTCCCGCAGTACATCTAGCGAGCTGTACCGCCAGTACCTCGGCATGGGTACCGACGACAGAGAACCAACGACCCCCATGTCCGTTCGCCCCTCTATGTTCGTGGTTCCCCAGTCTTCTCAGGAATCCAGCAGCGAAACGAGACCGAGGAGGGATAGCAGTGTTCTGGGCTCGAGCTGTGAAGCAAACCCTTTTGTCGATCCCCCCGCCGATCATCCACCTCCCATCTCTTTCTCGGATGTTGAGATCATACGTCGACCGTTCAGTCCCACTCTCCACGATGAGATGTCCGTGTCTGCGGGAGATCGTGTTCATGTGGTGAGGATGTTTGATGACGGATGGGCCTTGGTGGAAAAGGTTCTGGCTGGGTCGCCGTCGCATGACGGTAAAGGAAAGCAAGTGCTTCCTCAGGCGGGATTGATCCCTATTGATTGCCTGAGGGAGATATGGCAGCCGCTTGAGGCATTTTTGCAGGACAATGATGTGAGCAGATATTCAGGGACCGGTGTTGCCATATAATCTTGATTAAGGTGAGTTTCCTTCACGATGCGTACATGGATCACAATTGATGCTAATATCGTTTTTGATAGGTCCGTTTAGACGAATATAGTCAGTTTACAATCAGCTTTTTGAATATACCATGTTTGTTGATTATTGTCATCTTTTAATCACTTGTCTTTCCTTTCAGCATGCTCGATGCTATGTCGTACTGGGGCTATGCCTCGTGTGTTTTCTGTAAATGTCAATATAACCTACGAAGCACTTTGTTGTTGTTTATTAAAGTGAATCTAATCGAAAATCAGACTGTAGTTTTGTCTTGGTATCCTGGAGTCCCGGATTCTTCGCCTTTAGGACGGATTTGTAGACAACCCTTCGGACCGTACCTGAACCCATTCCGAGCGAGTCTCCATAAGAGGTGCAGGAAGAGATATGGCTGTCGCATGGGGGGATAGTAGATGAACGGCGACGAGAGAATGCTGCAGAATGTCAGTATGATGGTAAGATAGAATTTAACATTCATACATGTTTCCGAGTAATTTCCCAAAGATGGTGGTCTTCACTGACGTACAATGATATTAGACTTCATAAGTGTGGCGGCAATAGAGTATTGGGAAGGCGTGAGCGCTTGAGCAGTGATACAGGATGCGAATCTATAGTTGCCGTGAAGCCTGGTAGTCCATCAATTTTGACATCGTGTGGGTATAATGGCATAGAGGAACCACGAAATAAGGGGCTGACGTACATAGGAGACAGAAAAGTGAAGAAACAAAATTAAGTGGTGCAAAAATACACCTGCGAGGATCCAATACAATTCTGAAATAAAGACTGTAATAAGAGCTTCGAGTGTATATCTGGAAAAGTGTAGTACAATTGACAGCCAAAGAAAATACAAAATATCAAGCCTGCGGTCGTCGGATATGATGAAGAATAGCAACGACGATGAGGGGTGCACATATGACAGTTGTGGTAAGAAAAAAGTCCGTTAATACAAATTAACAATGATGAACTTGATGTGCGACGATGATACGATGATACGGAGCGTAATGGTGGTTTGACTCGATGTTTAGAAACAACACGGTATAGGGATGACGAAACACATTCCCCCGCCCTTAGGACAATTAAATCTATGTTTTCAAACGAAGACCATTCTACTCACAGGGCATGGTATACATCCACCTCTAAGCCTCATCGGCTCTTGCTCCTTCTTTTCCTCGACGACCATCCCTTGGACAGGAGCAGGCTGATGCGATACAACAGCCGCCTTGGTCGACATGTAGGTGTGGGCGGGTGGAGGGTAAGTAATCGGTGACATGATGATGTTGGTGATTCTGAACCAAAAGGAGTGAAGGCTCGGAGTATATATATGTGGATGGAGACGATGACATCACCATGCCAAATTAAGCAATGAACGCCACAGCCTCCTTTGCACATTCTTTGCGCAGCAGCTCAACCTCCACTTTATTTCCTTCTTTCTGGTAAGGTCTAGAATATACTGCGTCATGCAACAGCATTCGATTACTCCAGAAGGCCCGAGCTTCTCATTGTGTAATAAAAAGATAGCAGTCTCAGGTCGTCTCTCGATACGAGCGAGCGGCAATACGATTAATTATGAAAGCACAATACCGAAGTATACAGAACACAGGTCAGACCCTCTGACCGTCAGAAAGTAGAGCAAAGAAAATGAGCAAATCTCAAGGAATCATCCACACGATTATATACACTGCCACCACACCAGCTACTACCTTGACGACCAGGAGAACCGGGTTTGTCGTAGTATTCACTTGATATGCCGCTCCGACCGTTTGCAGATACGCAAACATAGATCCGGCGGGGGTGCCCGCGTCGTAGCAGAAGCTGTGGAAAAGCGCGGCAGGGGTGCCTAGAATTAATAAATATGTGAGTTGACGCAGCTGCTGCGGTCAAACATGGACGTGTACTTACTACCGGTGATCCCTGATACAGTGAACCCCAGGATCGTCAGTATGAGGACCAAAACCTCTTGGATGAGAAGAAGAGGTGTCATGATCAGAATGAGAGGGATTAAGATGATCCAAGGTCCGATAAAAATGGCAAGTGAGATGAAGAGCGCGAAGCGCGGGTTCTTTTGGACTAAGTTAGCAAAGTCAGGTAGGTAGAAGCACTTGGACTCGAAACATCGGACGAACGGATTGCGTCCAGAGGCAAGAGTACTATAAGGAATTCGACCGTCAGCTAAAATCAAAGCAAAACGTTTGAGTCAGGCATACCGTGGTTAACAAGGAAATCCTCTGGGGATGTCGCCATGTATCAGGACAGATATCAGAAAGCAGCGTGCGACTCACTAGTGTTGATCAGACCTCTCGGCACCCATTGAATGGCTTTTTCACCAGCGTTCAATGCTGAGTATGGGAGATATCCAACCATCAGAGCCGGGCTTACCATATGCATAGTCTTTGAAGAAAACGACGAAGAAGTCGTCTGGAAGGGATTTTTATCATAGCAAAAATAAACAAGTGGGAAAGAAGCTTACTGAGGACGCTTATAATTACTTCGATCCATTTCAAGATCAGTTCTCGGGTCTTTTCAGAGTCAACATCTTGTTGGGAGGCCGTGCGCACAACTCGGACGAGATACATTGTATACGCAGGAAAAGGGCAGTGCCATCCCTGGTGCAAAGCCTTAGAGATTAGTGGTGTCACCTGACGGATTAGGACTATTCTAGCTTAGTAGCAAAACCATGGGACTTTCAGCAAGTTACTGGGGGGGTAATCCCGCTTGTTACGAAACCATATTCGCTAGGCTGCTATCAGATATTCAGTTGTCGTTTCAGTATTTCTTCGTTTTCAGGTGGCGACGGCCTCTTTCAGCGATCAACGTTTTGAAAAGTCAACTAGTATGAACACACGGAAAAGGCTATAGAAGAACAGAGGAATGCATATCGAGCACTTGGGGAGCTAAAAAGGGACGAGTCTATGTATGCATAGAGAAATATACGCGATGAGAAGGGGTATCAAACCATCGACAGAATCATATACACTGCCACCAGCCCAGCTAGCACCCTGATGAACACAAGCACCACATTGCTAACAGTGAACCCATTATACGAAGCCCCAGTTGACTGTAAGCAAGCAAAGACAGAGGCGGCAGGGGTGTGTCCGCCGTAGCAGAAACTTTGGCACAACGCAGCAGGTGAGCCTGATGATACTCAGTCTGGTCCGATGACGTATGAACGTATTTAGCGCGCGCTTACCGCCAACGATGCCCGATACGCCAAATCCAATGACGGTGAGCACGATGAAGAAGGCTCCTTGGATGATGAATAGAGGAATGAGAAGGATCCAAGGGCCGAAGAATATGATGATTGAGATGATAAGGGTCAGGCGCGGGTACGCTTGGACTGATGAAAGGGATTAGAAGACAGACTCGGATAGTTGGAGGTTCTACAAACGGATCGAATCGAGTGGATAGAACACTGCAAAGTATCCATTAGTTAGAATGGAGGAAAATCATCTGGTCGATATGTACCTTGATCTCTAAAGAAAGTGACAAGGAAGTCCTCTGGCGGGACCGACTCGGATTATTAACAATATTATCAGGATCACAGGAAGGAACTTACTAATGGTGACCAGAGCTGTTTGGATCCACTGCAAGACTTTCTCTAGAGCCTTATTGAAGTCAAATTCATTGGAAGAGACTGAGGGAGTGAGAATATACATGATGCAAGTACGCGTGGAAGTAGCGTGGGGCCGGGTCGTGGGTGACGATCACGCGATCTTAGGGGATATCAGGGCCGCATATGGAAATGAACGTCGGGAAACGACGAGCACTGCAATTCGTGACCTCGATGCAAGGATGCTTCGAATTCCCGACGAAGGTGATATCCTACCCGCTACGTCTGGGAAACTTTATCTTCCTTACAGTTGTTGTCTGGAAGTTCGCTCTCAATAAAACATCGTTTCTAGAACTTTCCGTGAAGCAGCTGTCTTGCACTGCCGCTCCGATAAACCTTGCTTGAAGGTTTTGGCAGACGAGAATAGGTGCTGGAGATCACGGAACAACGTTGAAAGCAGTTGAACGTCCGAGTCGTATAATCAACTGTGCATCGAATGGGAGACTACTTGCGATCGCTATCCGCCAGACATCGAGACCTGGGTCCTTGGTAATACAGCGCTCGGCATGCAAACGGTGTTCGAAAAGATAATATTGGGCTTTAGAATATAGAGACGGATATGCGGCCCACGGGCAGAAGAGGTTCCGCTGAATTGAGCTACCGATTGGTAACGTTGGATCCGGAGGTCAAATGGTTCCAGAGTTTTCTGCTGGGTTCCAGAAGAATTTATATTTCTGCGATAAAAGAGTCGACGCTGGGGAAATACGATGATGAAGGGGGTAGATATTGATAGGCAGCGAAGATGGGTATGTGGGGGTTGATAGAGGCGGCCAGGATAGTGCCATCAAGCTACGTAGGACTTGGCGAGACATGAAATTGTTAGGAGTGACATCATAGATTCCCACGGTGGACTTTATACATATACCCCACCGTGCGTTAAGATGTCGTCTTCCTCCACTGAGAATTGCTGCACCTACGTACTGCCACAAAGCTCCTGCCACCAAACTATATCTCCTCCAAGCTGTCGTTAATTGACGCGTTCATAGTATAGGCAGGTACTTCCTCATTTCACAAGGTTTGGTATTGCATTCAATCTTCTCAGCAAATTTCTGATGTTCCCATTTATTTAGAATTTGTAAAACAAGATGGTTGAACCTACAGACGGCCTCACGAGAAACTTCACACCCAAACCTCTCGAAAACTCGAATATGCCCGCCGCGACCGGAAGCGCGTCCCGAAGTAAGTAATATCACGTGCAGAGGAAGACTGTGATGGCAAACAAGCGCAGATTACCTCCTTGAAAAAATTCCATCGCGTCGTGGGCTCTGGCGAGTGCACTGTGCGGTTGGAACCGCAATTTCTTTCTTTTATTTTATTCTTCTTTGGTTATGCGGATCTCACTCTCTTATGCTTAGATCAACGCTTGGATTCAACCCGTGTCGCCAGAGGTACCTTTGGTACGTTTGTTCAGATGGGAATTCATTTTCTGGAATATTTTTGACATGTGTTGCAGATTTTTATGAGACTCGACTCGGATATCACTCACAACGTCTTCAAGACTCGCATCCCGCGTTGCAGAGCACAGGCGGTGGCCCGGATTATATGTATGGTGGCGATAATCGCGAGGGGAGTGGCGAGGGTAGCTCCATGTCGGAACAAGGACGATCCGGAAATCTACGGAGGCCATCCGTTGCTCAGCCTGGGACATCGCGTCGGCAACAGACTGTTCAGCCGACACCATACGGGGCCCCGCCGGACGGCATCCATGGCGTCAATACCCCCTCTACTAGCTACCAAGGTTCTCTCCATTACCCATCTCCGACAGGCCCTTTCGCTCAGCGAGCAGGTTTTGTCGGGCCTTACGCGATATCGCCATCCGGACCGGTGGCGATAGCCCATACGCCGCCGCCGTTCTACCAACATGGATACCAGCATCCTGGGGTGGACGGTAGCATGCTGCACCAAAATATACACGCTGGTTTCCAGTCCATGCTTCCGCACCAGACCCATGTCTACTCTTATCCTTCACCCGACGCTGCCTCAACATCCTACTCGACGCCCCCCATTTTTCCTTCACAGGGTACTGCATCGCCTTCTCCTTCTCAGCCTTCAAGCTCTCAGCCAACTCACTCACCTACTTACTCTGGAACAGGTTCTTTTCATTCGTTACCATACTCCTCGATATCTACGCCGCAATATTCGTACGCACCGCCCCAGTCCTTTCCGACCTCTCCAATTTATACTTCCCAGTATCCCCCGGGTGCCTATCCACAGCCATACACGTCCCCTACAACAGAGTCAGATAGTCAAGGCACATGGTGGTACCTACCCCACGTTCCAGCGCGGCAGTACGAGAGTTCACCAGCGCCATATCATGGTCACTATACTATTAACTATACTTCCCCGCGACCGCATGACTCTGAACCTTACGGCCAATCCTCAGGTGCCTCTTCCTCGACTCACTATCCCATGTCGCCCGTAGTGACCGGTGTTTTTCCTACAGACCCAGTATCGCCGATACCGCCAACCACTCCTCTATCCCAAAAACCCGAAAGCGCATCTTCCCGCAGCGCTGCCCCAGAGAGACCTCTTGTTCGACGATCGTATCATCCTAACCCTCCATCCCATCGCTCAGAATGGGTCATGTGGGTTGGCAACGTCCCGTCCGACGCCACTCACGATGAGCTATGGCGGTTTTTCAACCAAACCCTCCCCTCAAAACCTCCTGATGACCCGGGTCCTACCGGTGTGATGTCTATATTCCTCATCTCGCGCTCAAGCTGTGCGTTCATCAACTTTGAGAGCGAAGCCTATCTTCACAAGGCTATAGCGAGGTTTCACGGGCAGCCCTTACGACTAAATGACCCCAGGTGTCCCAGGCTTGTTTGTAGGGTTAGACGGAGAGATGATGATCTCAAAGCCGGCGTTGGCGGACAACGTGGGATGGGAATGCACACGAAATGGATCAAAGAGCGGAAGGGTAAGGAGGAGTCGAGCGAGGTGTCGGAGCATTCTGATGTGGATGAGGTGCCTATAACACCATCAAGCTCATCTGACCGTCATTCGTTCGTTCCTTCGGCATCGTTCTCAAGCGACGACGATACGAGACCGACTCTAGGTCCAAAGAATTCGAGCAGTTCTGGGTCTTTTGCATCGACGAACTCTAGTGTCCTCACGAGATACTTCCCGAAACGCTATTTTATTCTCAAGTCTTTGACACCGGTAAGCCTTATCGTTTCCTCTTTCTTGGGATCGGTCTCTGATTTTTTGCTACTACGGAGTAGGAGGATGTCGACATCAGCGTTCAACAGGGACTGTGGGCTACCCAGAAACACAACGAGGGTATCCTGGATCAAGCATTTCGGACGAGCGAAGATGTTTATCTTATCTTTGGCGTGAACAAAAGTGGCGAGTGGTATGGATACGCCAGGTACGTATAATTATCTGATGGCTGTTCTGTTCTGTTCTGAACCTTTTTGTTGGATAGGATGACTGGACCTGTTGGCCGTGGAGAGCAAACGGTACCGTGGGCTTCACGAGCAGATTCTGCCCCTTCGTCACGCTCGTCACTTTCGCCAGTGACAGGACGGGGCCCTGTTCAAGCGGAAACGATACCCGAAGAACCATCGTCCTCATCTGCTCCACGTTCGTCTGCAGATGACGAAGTGATGATCTTCTCCGCGCTTCGGTTAGTCGAAGATTCCCCACAATCGGTTTCGTCATCGGAGCAAACTCGTCCGAAGTTTGGTACAGAAGCTGCCGTACAGTCTGCACCTGCTGAACTCGGCCCACAACGCCACGCAATGACGACGCGGTCGCCCGTTGTGAAGCACAGTCTTGATAGTACTCGGATGTTTAAGCCCGAGCGGTCGATCTTGACCAAGGCGCGGCCTAGCAGCTTTCATTTGGATGAGAAAGCACCGTATAGGGCGATGAAGCATGGGACTGGGACTGGGACTGATGAAGGGGAGGAACAACTGAGACCGGTAGAGGAAGGGGAGGGGGGACATGATCATGAGCAAGGGGGTGAGAGCCAGGTTCCAGAGACGCTGGAGGAGACGGACAAGGTCGAAGCAAAGACGCCCAGAGAAGAGAGTTGGGGTGAGTCCTTCAAGGTGGAGTGGATCAGAACCGATCGGCTACCGTTCTACCGTACGCGGCACCTGCGTAACCCATGGAACAAGGACCGCGAGGTGAAAATTTCACGGGATGGGACGGAGCTGGAGCCGTCGGTTGGACAACAGCTGATCGATGAATGGCAGAAACCGCCGGAACCTCGTCCGCCTGGCAAAGGTGGGATTGGCAGACGCGGTTCGTCGAAAGCTCCACCATCAACATCACGATCATGATGATATACGAAGATATCGTTATAACCTACGAAAAACAATACGATCACGCATAATTAAACACGCATTTGCATCGCATTCAAGCACAATCATGTAATTGATCCATTTCATTTCTGATTTATCGATTAATTGACAGTTCGTCCAGTAATAATCATCATCAAGTCTCAGACAGGAACTTGTCATTCACGATACAAACGTTCCGTCAACACTCTTTCACTCATTATCCACGGTTTTACGCTTTTTGGGGGGGGATTTGTTCATTTTGGGTGCGGTATATATTCTTCTTCCCCTCCCTTTGCTGCTGCAAAGTTCAAGCTGTCGTTTGCGCTGTTCATCTATAGTCGTTGCATTTGTTCCAGGCTTTGCTTTTTGTACCCCCTCCCCCAATCTAGTCCCAATTTTTGTAGCTATAGGTAGAAATATCTCCACATCTCACGCACTTCCACTGTAACACATCGCACTAATGGCATTATACACGATCGCGCCTTTTGTGCGCTGGGTTTTTTTTATTTTCATTTTCATGGGATCGGGGTATGGGTTAGTGCAAATTCAGCGAGGTCTGATGATATCTCTTTTCATTGACCTGAGGTCGATGGCGATCAGACCTGTGTGATATTCCGTATCGTACGTGCGGAAAAGAAAGAGCGTTCGCAGGGTGCATGAGTACATGTAAAGAAGCAAATTGATGATATCATACCAAACCGTTACCAGGGATCCTACATGAACCTTAAAAACATCCATTGGGACAAGATCGGCGGGCCGATGCCCGAGCAGAGGTGTCCACCCCTCGCAATGTTGCCGCTCTTGAAGATTGCGACGTGGCTCCTACGACAGATAAAGCGGATTATGCTGAAGCAGCCGTGCACGGTTAGGTGACTGGCTGAAGGGCATCATGCTCCTCCTCGCAAATGGGGTGTTCGTCGAATCTTCCCGGGTACAGATGTCGTGGACTTCAAGGATCAGTTATATGCGGCATTTGTGCAACTCGAGAAGGTGACGGCGGGTGTTAACGGATTCAAGGATTTTAAAATTCTGGGATCAGGGTATGAAAACTCCAATCCACGTATAAAGATGGAAAACAGATATTGTAATAAGGTCCGACCTATCTGCTTTCTGAATAAGCTACCAGTAGGCGGCTTGAATCATCCTAGCTCTAGAACTGAAGACTGGTGACAGAACTACATATCAAGCTCGAATAATTCTTGATGCATGCATACATTAAGCCGTTATTGTGGTATAACAAAAACTGCTGACCACTCACCCTCTCCCAAATGCGAGTGGATCTCTATTCATAACCTCAAAGTCCCAGGAAGTGTCCCAAAGAAAAAAAGGGACTTGCGCCACTCTGGGCAGGATTCTGCTACTTTTACAAGCCCATCATGAACGAGCAGAGTTAGTTGTTCACCCGTTCCATTGAAAGTTGCCGCGGTTGGAGATTTCGGCGTAGCTTGGGAGGACAGATACAGTGTGCTGGGGGAGTGGAGCCACGATTTCCGGCATAACGTCCCTGACACACTAGCCAGCCGTTCTCGGAATCAGGTGGGTGGCCCGTCCCAGACATCATGGCTTGCAGTAGGGGTCTGTCATATGGCTCGGCGCATATGGCGTGCGTGCGCTCGATCCATCGGTTTCTAACATCCTACGCTATATCGCCGCCAGTGGAACTTGAGAAGGCGATGATATGTTTTCAACGAGTTGAGGAGCTTGAAGCTCCGGAATGTCATCATCGTTTTGGATTGATCAGGAGAAGAAGTTACTTACTATGTGCAATATCAGGGAGAAGGAGAGGGAACCTTCCAGTTTACGTGCGCAGAGGGAAAGGCCGCCCGCCGCTCGAATAACTTGCGTTGGTTGGGTTGCGAAGTTTTCTATTTTACATTTGTGCACGGCCTGCACGGCCTAGTAAATCTCGGAAGCATCGTCAACGGTAACGTCTTGTGTGGGATAACAAGGACTGTCAATAGCTGTCGTCAGTTAAGGGCACCGCGATCAACTCCCTGAAGAAGGTAGAAGCGAGGGAAAGAATGTGCTTGTGGACATAGGTTGGACGTCATTGGATGATACAAAGACTATATATATGCTGTCGGATAGAAGGATGGATGGTTCATGTTCATATTGGAACAAAATCGGCGGAACGGCCGGTGTTAAAGAAAAGGAAAATGCGGGTGTCGGTCAGCCCTCGGAAAGAACAGATCGAGTGGGATGAATCGACACGGGCACGGCACAGAAGGGAAGGGTAAAGAGTTACGACCTCGTTCCATGCCGTTGCTTCCTTTTTGGACATCGGTCGAATTAGGGAGAAAAATGTTTTTGAGTGACTGAGTCAGGACAGAAGCGACCGAAGCGCAGAGCAATCTCACTGCATGTTAATCATAAGCTAGCACATCTAATATGATCTTGCGGGAAAATGTCTGCTTCCTACCTCTCGCAGGGAAGTTTGAAAACGTTCGGAGTTTCAAGCAACGAAAGATCAGATCTATTACTCTGTGTGTATTTCGTTGTACAGTATGCGCCTTTGTAACCTTCATGACTCACAACACGTCAGAAAATCTCTGCCAAATAGTTCCATTTTTCGTGTGTACAATTATGTAAGCTCGGACGACTCACCTCGTCTAATGTCTTATAGACCTTGGCCAAGACATCGTTTGGTATGGCCTCATCAAAGATAACATCCAGATCATCCTGGGCGCAATTAGGACACATCATTGCTATGGTACGCGCAGATTCCCTAGCATCCACATCTGTCGAAGTCAAAGTCTCCATGGTTGGAGACAAGAGCATCGCCCTGAGGAGGGTCGCACCGTAATGGAGGAGGTATGATTTCCTCGGAAGCGGGTGATGAAACTGGGGAGTGTCATCCCAGATATCATGCATGTCGCAGGGCGGCCCTTTGAAGTAAACGGTACACCTGACTTGGACTCTATCCAGCATATCGAGAAACGCGGATCGGATGACGCTCATGCGCCGTTCGTGGAACTGGGCGAAGCGATAAAGGATCCTGAGGGAAGGGAGGTCGAGCTCCGGCATGTCTTCCTTGTGGGCGAATAGGGGCTTTGCCAGCACCTTGCTCGCTGCAATGTCAACTTCCCTTTTCCAATTGAGCTTGCAAGCGACGACAAAAGTATGCAATGGGTATATGCTGACAAAATTCCTCAGTTGACTGGGAAGTCTGTTTGTTACGTCGTTCATGAGGTATTTGTGCGTAGCTTCTGCGACCTGGTAGATCTCGGATACGTCAGCAAAAGAAGGATCGGGGATTGGGTAGCAGAAACGAAGGACTTTGTCGACGATGTTGCTTCCTTCAGTCAGATAGACTATAGGAAGGGAGCCATCGCTCGGATTCTGGACTAAAGGAATTAAGTCTTGGAAGAAGGAAGACGCAAGGGAAAGGATGTTTTTGTGAGCGTGGAAATAAACATCATCAGGTGATATTAGAAGGATATCTGATGAGGGATCAGAGTCGTCGAAGGGGAAAGGCGCGTTCATATTCTTGTTCGGAGAGGAGGAACTTGGGTTGCTCACTGCGGGAAAGACACAACAGGCAGGGAGAAAGAGTCGAAAAGTTAGGGGCTCATGTAAATTGTGCATATAAGTAGTAGCTGGAACTAAGAGCTGTGCATTGCCAACTAAAGATACGGCTTACGAAGGCAGAGGCGAAGGAGGTCGAACGTCAGGATGTAGAAGGGAAGCCAACGACACCTCTACGACGCCGGCGCTGCTCCGCACTATCATTGAAACCCCGGACACGACGGACAGGTCTCGTCCAGCTAAGGAAGGCAAACGTCAATGAAATTGTTTCCATGACATTTGAATGTGTTTCGCGATAGCTCTTCGTTTCTCTCGAATGGCGCGGTCACCCGGAGCCCTTAGAATATAAACTGCCTATACAGAGGATGCGCGCCATTGCGAGGAATAAACCTCGCTTCGCTTCGCCTCTTTGTCCGCTCATCCTTAATGAGATTGCGACAGTCGCGTCGCCAATGGTTGAAACAACGCAATCAATGACTCGAAATAAAGAGTAACAGACCTGAGTTTTAGCCGCCAGGCCTAGATCTGAAATATCGTCCCAGTACCGCTGCTCAACATGTCCATGTTCTGCCAGCTCTAGTCCACGTCTTGATGGTCCCCGGGCCTATGTGCGTCCGACGGCGCCAAAGCAGTCCAGTGTCCGTAATTACGATAACAGGGCTTCGACTAGTCCGGCGATATACGAAGATTGGGTAATGCAAGAAATCGGTTCTGTAGATATGTGTGATTACGCCGAACGATGATTTAGCTGAGCTATTGAAGGCAAAAGCAAATATATGTAGACGCACATGGCTCAGATACTACTTTTCTGCATCAGTTTTTTTTTTCCTTCTACATTCCGACAGATTTTAGTAAGAGGATGCCCGTGTAGCATTGAAACTGCCAGACTACTGACGATTCGAGAAATTCTCGAAAGTCACGAAAGACGGAATTCGAAAGGAAGGGGGGGTGGTTCAAGACGAAAAGATGGGACGATCACGGAGCCTTTGTTGTCTCCTACCCCCATCATTGATACCTGCGGGATCTGTTCTCTCACGACCGGGCCCAAAATCGGTTACCAGCTCTATCATGCAGGGCGAGCACTGAAAAGTTCTGACCTAGCTCCAGAAGAAGAGCGAGATCGACCTAGGCGAAGGGACGGAAAGAAGGGTTCGGGTAGAAGGGCTTCGGCAACGCAGGTACGCTGTGTGACCATTGTACTAAGGATACTAAGCTCATACATTTCGTATTGGGGGCCAGCCCCGCCGTACACGGACGTTGCGAGCTTGGGATACACCACCGGCTTTGTCGAGGACGCCGGTATCAGCTCCACCACAAGGCCGATATCAAGCAGCCCCCTCTATGTCCTGTGAAAATTCGACGTGTACTGTGACCCGAAGGTCGTCAAGGATTAGGATCTACGGCAAAGCTATATTTTACCGGGATGCTGGGCAACCGTTACTGCATCTACCATCTACATCGAGTCCGGCCTCTTCCAGTGTCACCGATATCCCGCGGACCTTCTCGCATCAGAACCTACGAAGCGAAACCCGGCTGGGCTACCTAACAAGCCATAGAGCATATTTTCAAGGTTCCATCTTCTGGGAGGTGGCTAACAGTCACTCAAAGCACAACTGGTGCCAGAGTGAAATGGCTATGCAGCTCGGTCCATGCTTTGTTCTGAAATGTTTCTTAACGCTCAATTTCACATTTCGACTCGCTACCCCTCCCTCTTCTGCTTCTACGTAGAGAGTCTGTGCTTCTCATGGATCATGGAAGGCCAACGTCATGGTAGACCATCCTCAACTCTTATCATCATGACGCTGCTTTTGTCGATATACCACCTCTCCTGAGCCTTTTCCTTAACCACGCTCTCCATCTCACACATGACTTTCTGGGGAGACGGTCGGTGCTATCGGGATTCCGGCGTTCATCTAAATACCCGTCTACTCGCAAAATTTAACTTGACAGTGACATGTGGACGATCACGCCGCATGTTGGTAACTCTGTTTACCCCCCTGTGATGAGGCTTATCGGCAGCAGTTTCAAGGGCTTATTGCGATGGGATTACGTCCGGCCGCTTCCATCATACCAAGTACACATTTCATTCGGGACTCGACACGTAGGACCCACCGAGTGCTATCCCTCTCTATTATGTTCGACTGACCACG